AGCTTTGTTGCGTGTTAGGCCTTTTCCTCTGCGATTTCAGGCTTCTATATGAATTATGAGCTCCATGGCTTTTATTAATACTGCCATCATGAGGCTCACTAGGAGCCATCTTATGATCCATGCTTCCTTTCCATGGATTCTTAGCTCGAATGAGCTCATCTATAGTTAAGGAGAGTTTTTCTTTTAAATATATCCAGTACACTTTAAAAAGATACTCCCAGCTACCTTTGTCATCAAAATCCACTTGGACCTGCATATTTTAAGAACAGTTTTGATGTGAAGGAGAAAATAAAAGGCATAAATTAGGAACTGACATAAAGAAAATGGCTGATAGATGAATCTCATAACAAGATCCAAATACAAGACTAATACTATGAACATCTAGATGAGTTTATCGCGAGGTACTTAGAGATTAAAGAAGATCGAATGTTAATCTCAATCCAGGAATCATTAAGTGAAACAGAAAGCAAAAATGGTTTTCTTGCGTATACATGCATGTGTCAAATTACGAATGCATTTTTTCATATTCTCCACTATAAAAATGGAAGAATAAGTAGAATTAAGAAATAAAATATCATCATGCATGCATAGACAGGAATGGCATATAGAATTTTTGCTTACCGATTCTGCTTCAGGAGTGCTTTTCTCGATTAACATTATTATTTTCATACATGTTCCACAGAACCCTTTGCTTCCCCTAACACATTGATAATCAGCACCTTTAGTGCATCCTTTGCACAGAGAAAACGGGCATGTGTAGCACATATAATAGGAAGCCTTCTGACAGTTAGTGCATATATGCCATCCTGCACAATGATGAAAAGAATTGCATCTTGAATACTATAAGATGGTGAATACTGGGTAAGCAGTATTATAATGACATCCACTCCTACTACGTAAAACAAAATTTAAAAAAAAAACACGAAGCTACGTACCACAGTTCCATTTAGCTTTCGATCGAAAGAATGACTCATCTCGCTTGACGCATGATGGATGATAAGCCTTCGGACAACCTCTGTCAATTAACAACGAATGAAAACCCATTTTTGAAGGGGAAACGAATCAAACATTTCACAAGCCGGCACATGCAAAGACTAACAGACAATAAATGGAAACAATTTAGCTCAAATTGTAATACAATGCTCCAATAAGAACACTCTTCCTCACCTTAATGTACAAAATTAAAGACTTACTATTTCCCTACCTCACCTCAACTAGATCAAGAAAAAAAAATCACTTGAGCTACGTATTATATTAACAGCGGATTCTCCGCTTAAATAGAAGATACAATTAATGAACAAATCTCAATTGTGATCGAGACATAATTCCCTAAATAAAAGGCGAAGGCGCAAGCGCAAATGCAAAGCAAAGAATCAACAAAATTCGAAGTATAAAAATCCTCCCACATCCCCGAAACTCACAGCAAACCACGAGAGTCCGAGACAACAAATTGACAAAAACAAATTCCACTCACCGTCGATCACAGAGAACAAGAGTCCCACCATCAAAACAAATAAAACACACATCCTCCTCGTCCTTGTTTTGCTGCAGAGAAGGCGGCGGGGCCTTGACTTGACACCGAGGCGGCCGACCTCGCCGCCGAATCCCCAAACTCTTCTCCTTCAATCCCCCATTCACCGTAAGTAAAGAATCACCACCAGCTTTCGAAACAACGACCGGTCCAGCCATCTGAACCGGAGCTCCAACCAGCTGCGAATCATCCGTATCCGGAACAGAACAGGAATGATCGACATCCATCAGGTCCGGAGCCTGAGCAGAATTCCCCAAAACGGAGACGTCTGAGAGCGGAGCATCCCGGTCATGGGATTGTAGACGGGGTTTATGGAAATCAAAAGGCGGGTCGTCGGGTTTATCCATGAAGATCGAAGAGGATCAAGGGAAATTAGGATGGGAAGAGGAATGGAAAGTAAGCAGAGGTTGAAGTTGAATTGGCAACCCTAAGTTCTGGAGAAGGCAAGGCAAGGCAACGCAAGGAAGCCTTTCCGTGGTCGGTCTGGTCTGGTCTGGCCAGAAAGCATTTGGAAATGGGACTGGGTGAGGAGGATGTGACACCCCATTTTGTTTATTCCCCCCCCCCCCCCCCCCCCCCCCCCC